CTCAATTCAGAAGTTTAGTTTTAAATATTGATTATCAAACCAACACCTATATAATTTTTATAAATCGAGCTTTTAACAATTTATTACTTAAGATATTCAATGTATGAAGCCTGTGGTCTGCTCACATTTGATTCCAGCTTAGTATTCAGTTACACTAAAAGAGAGAATACATCAGAAATAACAATTTATTTTAAAGTTGAACTACAATCCTTTTTATGAACTAAACATGAAAATTTTAGAGAGGCATTACACATACGATTTCTAAAATGGGTAGAGGAAAAAGAAAACAAAGAACTAAAATAAGAAGAAGAAAAACGCCAAATAGCAGTCTCATTAATAATAATTATACAAAAATTGATATTTCTTGAAAATGATTGCTGTTGCTCCTTCTATCTGGAAGCTCCTCATTTGGTGTAGAGAACATCTTCCCAAGGGTGGCGGTATAGTGGCTGTTTCAATCTCTTCTGATCGAATGTGTGTCTGCCAGTTTCAATTCCAACGAGAAATCAATTAGGTGAAAATAAAAACTAAACTTCGATAAAAGATTGAAACTTAAAAAGTTCGTTTAGGTTTAAAAGAAAAAGAGAGGAATTTCAACCCACCCGATCAGACCGATGGATCGTGCGAGCACAAACAGGCCGTTCAAGTAGCCAATCTGGACGATTTCATCAATCTCTTGTTTGCTGAACATTCCACTGCCGGCAAGAAGATCCAAGAAAAGAGACCCAATTGCACCGTCTACGTTAAGAACCAAGTTGTTTGCCTTTGAAAGAGTGTAAGTTTCAACCTCCACAGCATATTCCATGTACTTCACTGATGGGAAATGTGTTCTTGCAAACCGCTGCAGCAGCTCCACTCTCTTATCTCTGTTGTCCCCTCTCTTTATCCTTTTTTTACGCCAATCAAACCATAAAACAGACACCAAAATAATCAATCCACAATTCAAAACAAAAACATGATTCTTTGTTTTGTTKGTCTCGTTGTATACGAGAAGCAAACCAAAAACAAAAAAAGTTTTTAAAACTTGGTTTTGTTTTTGAAATTCGGCCAAGAATCCAAATGTGTTAATAAGAAAGCATGGGGATCAATCAAATGCTTAATAGGTAAAATATTTAAACCACTCAACCATCAGTGATCAGTGTGTACCTGTGACCAATTCCTGGCACACGAATTCCTTTCTTTTTCATGCTTTCGACAAACTCGTAAGGCGTAAGACCCTGCAGAAATGCAGGAAGCATCATAGAATCTTCCAGGGTACAAACTCGTAGCCACCATCACAATTCAAAATTTAGCAGTAAAGAGATTCTTACTTTATCATAAGCATCCTTAAAATACCGAGCAGCATCATCAATGGCACCACCAAATCGAGGGCCGATAGTAAGCAAACCTATTCCAGAAAGTTCCTCATTATACAAAAACCAGACCTAAAAAAGTTCAAACATATTCTTCGACGACGGGAAAAACAAATCGCAGTAGTAATAACATACCTGAGACTAGGCTGGACACGAGGTCTTTTCCAGCTCTTGCTGTTACTATAGTGTTGTGCGCTCCAGATACACATGGACCATGGTCCGCACAGAGCATGATACATATCTGAATAACAACACTTAATTATTATTGCTATTGCTATAAAACAAGCTCCTATTTTATCTTTGTTATATTTTCTTAATAATCAGAAACAAAGAAGCGAGTCGACAGCTACGCATCGAATTTGTCAAACCTCAACCCAAGACTATAATTTAAATTTTCACCAGAAATCAAGAAGTATAAAATTGGACTAGCCTTGTACAGTTTGTTAGGCTGGGGGAGAGGAGAATTGGTGACAACTGACAAGATTGGGATTCTTCAAGAAATTTCGGTAGAAAGAGATCATTAATTCCATATCATTTGCTACCAACCTCAATGAAATGGGTGCAGTATCGAGGAAGGCTGCGTTTGAACCATAATAGTGAGATAACATCCCCAACACCGTAGCCTTGCTCAACAATTGAAGACATTGGTATTCCAGCGTAGCTTGGCTCCTCACCTTTTGTTCGAAAAAGTAATGATTAAAATCTGAAGAATAACAGATTAAAGTTTAAACCCTCAAAGAATATCTTGTCATCAAGTTGAAAGCATACCTCTGTCATCAGAAATGGTGGAAATAATGTGGGTTGGGGCCCGAACTTTTCCACTCTTAATTGCTGAGCTAAGATCCTCAGGAATTTGTGGAGGCTTCACTTCCTTTACTGGAGAAATTTTCCCATCTCCAACCTAGGAGTAAGTCAGATGGTCAACTTAATTATCTGGTAGTTGCAACTAATAAAATCGAGGAACATTTATTCGTCCTCCCCAAGGAAGATGAGAACAAGATGATCAAAAATAGCTATCACAGAAGAAAGTCCTAACGTGAAAATTTACCAATTTTTCAAATGTTTCCTTAATTGCAGCTTCAATGGCCTCATATGATGTGGGAACGATGGCTCCAGCTTCCCTTAAAGCTTTATTTTTTGCTTGTGCAGACTCCAACTCACCACCACTTTTTGCTCCCTGTTATGAAGTTCAGGGAGCAAATAATGTGTCAGCAAAACGTATCTTACAATAACAATACAGTAAGCGGAACAACTCCAGATTCAACTTACAGCATGACCAAATTGAACTTCAGATTTAAACAATGTAGCACAAGTGCCGCTAACCCAGGCCACCACTGGTTTGTTAACTTTTCCTTGTTTCAGGGCTTCAACTAAAGAATACTCATCTCGACCGCCAAGTTCTCCAAGCACGACCATCATTTTAACCTAAAGAATAGGCCAAAAAAAGCATATTGAATGCAAAGGACAAAGTGCAGGAGCATCCAATTAGATAAATTGATAAAATGTTATAACGAACCCCTACTATTCATGACTCGAACGGTTGGCTAAATTGAAAGATATCTCAAAACGATGTCAATCATAATACCTGTGGAATGTTGTTAAACCGCAAAATGTGATCAGAAAGAGTCGAACCCGGAAACACATCCCCTCCGATTGCAATACCTGTACAGTTAAAGGATTGATCAATATTGCTTTAAAACAGCCCTACAAGAAGATCACTGAGGTAGCTGTGAACTTTACCTTCATAAATTCCGTCTGTAACACGGGCAATAGTATTGTACATTTCATTAGACATTCCACCCTGCAGCATTACACATTATTAAACAGCCTCATTTTTTAGTAGGTTAACTATTTTGAAGAAGGCAATGGGATCTGACAATGCAAAAGAAAAACGTTGACTTGTTCGAAAAAGTTGGTCAATGTGGAGAAAATATTGAATGGATAGTGAAAACACATTAACACAAAAATTGAAACATCTAGAATGCCACAAAAATTTATTTATGCATCATCAAATCTATCAAACTTCCATGCATAAGAGCACAATTTGGTTGAAATAAGTTGACAACAAAATGTTACGAAAAAATAGATGAAGATTTCGGTGACAGTTGCTTACTGATTTAGAGACAAAACCAACAGATCCAGGTCTGTAAAGCTTGCATTGTATTATATTGTCAATTGTTCCAGCAGTGTCACCAATTTTAAATGCTCCAGCTTGTATGCCACCAACAGTAGCTGGACCTATAACAACCTGCATTTGAATTAAGCAAAGAGAAATCATTCAAGTTCAATGATAGGTCCCACTACTTGACCCTTACTCCATTTCTCTTCTTGTTCTTCTGTACATCACTAACAATTTGGTTTGTGTGTGTGGCTTTATGTAAGATGTACATAAGATCACAAACATATATGCTTTTCTGTTACTAAAGCTAGGACAGCTCAATATCACTGGAAGCATCGAAACGTTCCTTACCTTATTGTTTGCCCGTGCATATGCAATCAACTGTTTGGTGTCCGACTCTGGAACACCCTCAGCTATGATAGCTATAACTCTGATGGTAGGCTGCTTCAAAGCAGCCATAGATGACGCAGCAGCACTACACATATGGTAGTACAAACTAATAATAAGTGGGAACAGAAAACTCCTTTCAATCGCAATATCATTAAACAACAATCACTAACCTTCTGAAGGATGCAAAGTTGATGAAAACATCAGCAGTGGGGTGTGCTGCACACGCTGCTTCAATCCTGAAAACGAATGAAAAAGAAGATAGGACGCTACATTCATTTGTTCTAAGCCAGTAATAACTTTAACAGCTTCTGCATGTGAGATAAAAGAACATAAAGATTGTATAGGTAACTATCTCCGATTAATGAACCTTCAATTTAAGAAGATCATTTGAATCCATGCATTAGAAGTTATTATCCGTCATTGTTTGGAAATGAAAAGGCATTGGGTACGGTAGCAATTATTTACAAGCAGTTTCCCCGTACTATAAACCATCCAAAAATAGTGAACAATATTTTGAGAATTATATCTAGAATTACGTATCAATGAAAGCAAGAGGTTAAAACTAGTTGTTATTATAAAAGAATAAGAGAAGTATTACGCACGTAGAATGCACAGGGATGGCAATTTCCTCTTGACCAAAAAAGAGTTTTTGAAATCCCTCAGAACCAGGATTGATGATTCCAGCAACTGATGGTGTTTCCCTCCCTATCAAATTAGTCAAACAGACAAGTTAAGGATACATAAACCAGACCCACCTAATATGACAATCCATTCATTGTCACAGCTCTGTATTGAACTGATACATCCTGTAGAGAATAACAGTTGGAAAAATAAGAGGGGGGAAAGCAGCGAATTACAAAAATTAATACACACCGCAGAGGAAGTCAAAATCAAGCATCCGTTGAATGGGAAGTTGCTTGTAATTGTAGAATAGTGCTTGTGTCGTGCGCGAAAATATTTGTCCGGTAGCCATGGTGAGCGTCAAAGGGACCTGCAAATAGCAGTGTGATTCTGCGTATCTTTTCACTTATTTTTTTTTCCCTAAAAAAAGCCCTAACAGAACAAAGTTTCAAATGAGAGTAAAACAAAAAACTAAATAAAGAAAGTGTTTTTGGTTTATGCACAGATTCTATGCAAGCAATTACTGAAATCAGGTCAGCATTAATGTACTCTCCCTAACACGTTGCCCCTCACCGCAAGAGTCGGTTATCTACTCAGGAATAGTAGATTGGTAACCTAACTCGTAACGAAATGATTCTTCGCTTTAATTAGTAACTTTAACAAAAACTCGTCGCGCATTAAAGACACTAGCCTAGAAAGTACAAACCAAGGCTATCGAAGGTTTAAGCGTAGGATGTGGACAGAAAAGGGTATCGCGTTTGCTACATCATTCAACAAATCGATCTCCGAAAATCGAAGAATCCAACGACTCGACTTGCATCAGTGAACTGACCGACGGTAGAAAAGGAACATAGTACTTCGAATTTACTACCTGCCAGATTTCTGCTCAAGAAGAAAAACGGATAAAATTGAATCATCGCAGCGTAATCGAATTTAACAATAGGCTTGTAAAAAAAGCTCGGACGAATGGTCACGCACATCAACCATTTCTGTTATTATCCTAATTACTTGTTCATCCTAAACAGTCCATCCTCTGAGTTGTCTAATTAGCATTATGGCTTTTCTTTTTCATCTGTACAACACTCTAAGCCCAAACCTAGCAGGCTCTCACGTAATGCCTTTTCTAACCTGCTCTCTCAGTAGATTGAGATTGATTGATCCTTCTACGCATACGGCGCAATGTCTCGATTAGGAAATCCGACTCGAATACATCATTTAAGGTGTTTTTGCACAAGCTTACTGAACTCGTATGGCTGGAATTATAGAACTCCGTCTTAGATCAATGCCGAACAAAAACCACAGAAGTTCAATCCATTCAATTACCAGATCAAACGCTCAGATAAACCACCTTTATTCCAAAAACATCTCAGTCGATTTCAATAGCAAGCAGCAATTGGCTCGCAAAAGATCGGCAACCACGATGTCTCAAAGATCAGCAGGAACTTGAAACCACCGAGTAAACGTGATCGAGAAAACATGATGTTTAAGAGGAAAACATAAATTCGGATCCAATAGAAGCAGGAAGCAGATCGAGAAAGGCGCCAGAATCCATTAAAAGTAAATAAACACGGCGAAAACAAAACAAGTATCGGAGGCAGAAATGCAATCAGAAAACCTACCTGAAGGCTCACTCGGAGTCGGGGAGTGGAATCCGGCGGTGGTCCGGCGAGAAATACGACGGAAGAGGAAATTGAGTGCTGGAAGTTGGAGGATATTGAATTGGGATTTAAATAAGGAAGGTGAGCGTGGTCAGTTGAGACTTGAGAGGACCGGAGAGCTACCGCAAAAGAAATAAAGAGGATGATCCAGCATCCAGCCACGTGGCCCCTGTTAGTTGGCTCACAACCATGAACTCCATTGATTTTTATTTTTACAGTATTAGCTAATTTCGTGAATTTCTCTCTTTTTTTGCAATTTTTTTAAAATTTTTTTGCCATGTATAAATTAACTTTGTTTAAACTTAAAGTACAATCGATTAACTACCTAATTTAAAGTGTTAAATTTCTAAATAGATCCTACTTTATCCGGGAAAAAAAAACAACTTACATTAAATTAAGTTAATTTCAATGTATTTATTTCATGATGTTTGACAAAAAGAAAAAAAAAATGCATAAAATTCATTTATATTTATTTTATTTTATTATGTTAAATGATCATGGATGATAACACGTTGAATTAGTTAAAAKGTTCTATTTAGACATTAAATGCAATTTAAAGTTCCTATTCCTCACTCTCATTTATATTATTATTAGATATAATTTTTCAAACGAATAAAAAAAGCGTTAGGTACAATTTATTGGTGGGTTTATGTATCATCCTCCAAAATTTAAACAAATTTAAAGTAAATTTTCTATCTAAAATTTGTTAATTTGATATAAAGGTTAAAGGAAAATAATGAACACACTAAAAAAAGGCCATGTTTGATTTTGATAATATATTTAGATTTTTTTAAAATAAGATTATATATTTTTATCTTTATGCTCTTGAAATTTAATTTTAATTTGTACCATTTACTTGTTTAAACTTCATTCCATAAAATTTTCATTTTTAACTTTTTTTGTTTTGTTTTAAAGTTAAGTTTCTTTGTGAATGATTTTTTAATTATACTTTTCACTTAGAAAGACTACATTGATCACCAAATCTATTTACTTTAGTTGTTAAAATTTGGCAATGATTTTGTAAACACTTTTTCATTAAATTTAAATAAAACAAAGAAGTATTTGGTAGATATAAGAAAAGATTTAAAAGAAAAAAAATCAATCAGGTAGCACATTTTTCTTTACTTTTTTAAGTCACTTTTAAAATTTTAAATTTTTGGCCAAATTCCACAAGTAAACAAAATTAGGTTTTCGAAAATGTTTTTTAAGGATATAAAATAAACACAACTTTTTAGAAATAATTGTGAAAATGGGCCTTATAATTTGAATTTATTTTATTAATAAATGGGAATTTGGAGTGCACGATGAATAGTAGTAGTGGATTATTCCCCTTGTGAGCTGTGAGAGAGAGAGCGAGGTGGTAGGTGGTTGGTAGATCCGACGGTTAGCTTCAAATTAAAGAATTACCAAAAATTCTTTTCATTCACGCAATTGACATTTTTTATTTCTTAAATATGTGTATTTTCCACCACCAAAATTATAATTCTCCAACGAAGCAAAATCTTCGACCAACCTAAATTAGCCATTTTTTAATTTAGAAAAAATGATTGATTGGCATCATTTTAAATCTTACTACAACAATATTTTGTTCAGTGTAAGAAAAAATAGATATTTATGTTATGGATGGAATGTTGGTCCTCTTGCTTGAAAGCACGTGTCTAGACCTCGACTGGGACAAGTCGAGATTGAGACATGTTGAACAAAGTCATCTCAAATTGATCAAGCGAAAATCCAACTCAATATCGACATGAAAACACGAATGTCATCAACCTAAAATTCGCTACATACCATGTATGGAGCCTGAAATAGTAAGATAACGTTTCTCAAAGCTCCCCTATGAAAGACAGAGTCCCCTCTTCACATAGGATTTGAACAAGATTGATGAGCTCATTCTATTTGCGAATCTTCACCTAGGTTGAATAAATAAATATTCTGATTCCAGTTTCTATTATAAAAAAACTCATTGTTTATTTTAATTTAACCACAACAATCAATTAAAAGAATATTTTTATTAGTCATTTATGGTTGAGACAAATTCTTCAAAGTAATTTACATGAATATCATGTAATGTTCAATAATCAATATGTCTTTGTTAATAAGATTAGCTAAATTACACATTTTTGTTGTAGAAATGTAAGCACTTTCACTACTCTCCTTTTCACTATAGAGAATAAATTAATGCATTTCTTATTATTTGTTGGATGGAGTAGGTTGCCACTAGATATGTTGCATAAGCTCACTTATATATTTATATTAATATATATAGACTAAGAAAACTAAATCTTTGCCACTTTTCAATATGAAGATATATAAATAGAAAATAAAGTAAAAATAAGAAAATGACAAAAATGAAAAATACCATTAAACAGTCCCCTATAAAATTATAGGGAAAAAAGAATTCTTTATCCGTAAAATTTACAAATTTTATCAAATTTCATAGTAAATTTTTAATTTCGTCCCTTTAAATCCTAAATTTAGATAAGGTGGGTAATTTATAACCTTTATTTAATTTTTATTAGTTCACCGGCTCATTTATAATAAAAGGATATAAAAATTTATAAAAACTCACTAATTTAATGAAAATCAAGTTTTGCACAAAAACAAGTTTTATTTAATATATAAAATTGATCATTAAATAATATTGTCAAAGCTTACAAATTTAAAAAGAAAATAGATCTAGTATCGTCTTGTATGAATCGCATAATTTTCTTATTATATATATTTTTTTGGTCTCGTATGAAAAAGTACATATATATAGATTTTCAAGTTAAAAGTACAACATTTATTCAAATTTAGGTGCAATTTGATTAAAACGAAAATATATGATAAAAATTAGTTCGTATCATCAAATTCAGCTACATTCGATGTGGCTTTTGGATGCGAAGAAATATTAATTTTCAAATCATGTCATTGGCACTAACCCTTAAATAAAACATTAAATCCCTGTGATGTGATGAAGATCGATTCCATGAACACGTGCTTATAGGAGGAACCCACGTGATTCTCATGTTTAGTTGTTTTGACAGCAAAATAAATCTTTTTTTGGGGGGACAGACAAAATAATATCATTGAATCTTTGTGAAATAATTCACACTAAAAAACAAGAATCTTGTGCAATCCAACTAAAACACATGCATCACGAGTTAGTAGAAAATTATCTTTGACATATATTTTCATAAATATTTGGTAAGCTGCAAATCCTATTATACTTTTAATATATTCTAGATTATGAAAACGGAATTGATTAAAGTAAAATTTGACAAAGTTAGGATAGGAATTGAATGATCATTGATTTCATCATTTGAGCTGATCGTTTTGTTTTGACAATTTCTAAATTTTTGTGTTCCATGGCACCGAGGTTAACCTCGTACTAGAGTAAATTGAGAGAATAAATCTAAACTTCATGATAATTAACTATCTACTATAACAATTTTTTTCTGACATCAAATGATCAGAACACTCTAAATTATTTAGTTTTCTTGTACTTAGAGTGTGTTTGAGAGTGATGGTAGAAATAATAATTTTGAAAAAAGAAATTTAAGAATAATATTAATTTTTCAAAATTACCACCGAATGATTCCTTAAAAATCACTACAGTGATTTAATGTTTTCCTAAAATCAATTTTTAAAATTGTCAAACACGATCAATTAAAAGAAAGTGAATTTCACAATGACAAAAGTGATTTTGTCACACCTTTAATAAAAATCAACTAATTGATGAATTAAGAGGTTGTGAGTTAAATTCCTGACCGTGGTTGYTAAAAAAAAGAAAAAAAAAACTAATGGATGAACCAAATGTTTAAGGCTTTCTGTTGACGTGAGAACTCACGTGATTCACGTGAGTGACCTCATTTCCCTCCCTCTCCTTGTTTTTTTATTTACTTAAATCTCTCACTCTCTCTCTCTCTAGTTTTTGCTCCCTCCCTCTTCTTTCAACTCTCCCTCTCTCTCATTTCTCTTTCTATCTCATCTTTCTTTTCTTTTCTTTTTTCAATCTACTTCTCTCTCCCTTATCATTTTTTCTTTAATTTTCTTCTTTCAAATTTTTTTTTTTACTTTTATATCTCTTCTTCCTATCTCTTTCTTCATTTTTCTTCTCGGTCACTTCCCTCATCTCCATCTTATTCTTTTATTACATCTCGATGTTTTCGGTAATAGTTAACTGTTATCGACATTTTCAACCTACAACATCTATAAAAAAATCGATTGAAATAAACACATTTATAGTGAGTAAAATCAAAAACGAGGGAAATTTATCATTAAATATACTTTTCGAAAATATAGCTAAATGAATGATTAAAAATATTATTAAGAAAAAAATAATTAAAACTAAAAAGCACGTGAAACTCACCTTATGATTTTTTTTATTTGGGAACTTGATTCTTTGCCCATTTTCAATCTATTGAAGAACAAATTGGAATTACATTCTTAATTTTTTTTTTGAAGCTATCCACAATGGATGGGATGAACATTTAGACTTCTAAGTTTGCAAAATGTTACTTTAATTATATCTTAAAATGAATTAAACTCATGTTGGTGAACCGATTAGAACATAATTACCTGTAATCTAAATGTGAAACTTGACTTTACTAGAAGAAAATTAAAGTGAAGTGCTTAATCACTCTTTCGCAAAAAGCTTTTTGGATGGAAAACTTTCGAAAGGCTGTCTTGGATGAACGTCCAAATGGGATTTCTCACGTGTTGCTTTGAGGTAGTGTTTTTTGGCTTTTGTTTCTAATATATTTTTCTTATGAGAAGAACATTTAAGATATTCCCACTAGAATGGATGGGTTTTCTATGTTTTCGTGAGAATTACTTTTCCTTAATTCACTTATTAATGACCCGAACACAGTTAACYTCTTTACTTCACTTGAGTTCGACAGTTCAAACTCTCGTACTCTAATTTATTGTACTAAAAAAGTACTTATTAAATAGTACATTCAATGTTTCATATACTAATTTATTTGATATCAAATTAATATCTTCCCTATGATACTATTCAATTATTTAATTTTAAATATTGAAACTCTCTCTATATATATTTATAATTTATTTTTCAAAATATAATTTTCACAAAAACATCCGATCATCTGCAGCGATATACATTTAAATACAC